TCGGCGTGAGAGAAGTTCTCTTCTTGGGGCATAAAATCAACGGCTCATCAATTTCCCCAGATCCCAAGAAGATAAGTGCTGTGGAAACATGGCCAACTCTGTCGTCAGTAACTGATGTGAGGAAGTTTCTTGGCTTTGCAAACTATTTCCGAAGGTTCATAGATCGACACTCGACCATCTCTCGTCCATTAGAAGAAATCACCGGAAAAAATTCACGCTTTGAATGGAGCGCTGCTAGACAGAAGGCATTCGAGTCTCCAAAATCAGCATTACTCGAGGCGCCAGTGTTGCAACTGGCCGATGTTGAGAAAAGCTTCACGGTAGAAACTGACGCAAGCGACTTTGCCGTGGCGGGTGTGCTCCTGCAGCAGGGAGAAGATATGGATTTGCATCCCGTAGCCTATTGTAGTCGGAAACTGTCAGCTGCAGAACGCAACTATACAGCGGCCGAGACTGAAACGTTGGTTGTGGTATTTGCATTAAAGTGCTGGAGAATCTATCTATTCCGCCACTTTGACCTGGTGACTGATAATATGGGTGTTGTCTATTTACGAACCAAACCGACTCTCACCAAGCGTGAGGCAAGATGGGTAGAGTTTTTAGCTGACTATGACTTTACAGTCTTTCACAAACCAGGAAAGAAAAACATTGCCGATCCGCTTTCACGCCGTCCAGATCTGTTCAGTGATTCTAAAATAGGCGGGTCATCCTATCCTCCTAACATCAGTTGAATGCCATAGAGCATACCCCAGAGATTAATCCAGACTTAGCGCAGTTAATTGTCAGCGGTTACAAGTGCGACAAGGATCTTGCTCCCATTATCAGGAGAATGAAAAATTCAAGCCATGACAATCTGCACGACTGTTACCTTCTAAATGAAACACCCGGTTATCTTTATCTCAGATCTTCACCACAGAACCGGTTATGCATTCCAAAGAGTAGCAAACTCCGACTCGCCCTGCTTCAAGAATACCATGACTGTGTGTCTGCAGGGCACCCCGGTCGAGATCGCACCTATTTCAGACTCGCTAGATATTTCTATTGGCCCAGAATGGGACTGGATGTAAAGGCGTTTGTCAAGTCATGTGACGTCTGCCAACGAGTAAAAGCGGCCAGTTAAAAACTGGTCTGTTGCAGAATTTACCAGCGCCTAGTCAGCTGTGGGCGGATATCTCGATGGATTTTATCATAGGTTTGCCTAGGACCGATACAGGTCATGATGCTATAAATGTATTTGTAGACCGTTTGACAAAGTGTGTACATTTAGCACCTACTTCCTCTACTATTGGAGCTAAAGGAAGTGCTGATCTGTATACTCAACATGTATTTCGACTGCATGGTTTGAGTTCTAGTATTGTATGTGATCGTTATCCAAGATTTACTGCAGCATTTTTTCAGGAATTGTTTGATCGCTTTGGAACGAAATTAGCATTTAGTACTGCCAATCACCCTCAGACAGATGGCCTAACTGAACGAGTAAACAGAATAGTAGAAGATGTGCTGAGGGCTTTTGTAATCATAAGCAAGATAACTGGGATATGCTCCTACCTCTCTGTGAGTTTTTTATCAACAGCGCTACTAATCATCTACAGGAAACACACCGTTCTTCTTAAATTATGGTCTAAATCCCAGAGCGCCACCCGACTTCCTCAACAACGGCCCTATTCAGGGAGGCAGAGATTCAGCTGATTGGTTGCAAGCAAGACAAGACGCGGTCAAGATCTCACAAGATGCGCTAGTGGCAGCTCAAGCTCGTCAGGCCTTCTATGCAGATCGGACAAGGGTCGAGGGAAAGCTGAAGGTGGGAGATTTGGTAATGGTCTACCCTACCGGGATTTCCTCCTGACTCCTGACGCTCGGGACAGACCATCCCATAAATTACGCCCCAAGTGGTTTGGCCCCTTTCCTATAACCAGGTGGTCGGCCCGAATGCCTACAAGCTCAAGTTGCCTCATACCAGCCGCTGTCACCCTGTATTTAATTTGTCGGCACTCCGTGCCGCCTACGAGAAGAACGCTATTCCTAATAGGAGACAGCTTACGCCTCCGCCTATCACGGACCTTGATGGTCATACCCGCTACGTGGTGGAGAACATTCTGAGTCACCGCCGCCGGCAGAATCAGCTTCAGTACCTAGTCAAGTGGCAAGGCTACTCTGATGCCACTTGGGAGCCTGAACATTATTTCTTGGATGAATCTGGTAATGACATTGTTCCACTTCAGAAGTACAAAACCTTGGCTTCTGCCCGCTGAGTTTTGCAGTTGAACTTCTAGTTTTCACCTTACACATTTTTTGAGCTTATTCCTCTTTTATTTGCATGGAGTTTGAGTCGTCTTATTGTGTTACTTCAGTGCGAAGCCTTTTTTCGTCCCGCACGTGTTTGCGCTTATTGTACTCTATTCCACTTGAGCATTTGGGTTATAAGCTCCTTCCTGTCCATAGGAGGGGGATGATGTAACAGTCTTCCTCTGTTCGCTATAACTTTACACTCCCTCGCACCTCATGCATCTCACGCCTGTCTATTAGCACCTTCATTGGCGCCATTGCCACATGTATACTATCATCTTTTGAATATAACTGGTTGAGGCACGCTCAACCAGGTCTCTAACTTTTCAAGTTCGATTAAACCTATTACATCCGGAATATGTCATACTTTTCCAACATTGCTTTTTTCTAGGGAACAAAGGATTACTCTTTAGCTAACGAATGAGTGTTTGTGGTAGCGATAGAGCTATCCAGTACACTTTCACTGTACCTGTAAGGAAGAACAAGAGTACATTCATGTACAGGGGACGTTTAAAACTGCAAATAACTTGAAATACGTGCATGACAAAACGATCAAAAAGCTGCTGTTATGTTGCAAGGCAGCCACTATAGGTACTGAACTGGTTGACTTGGCACGTGCGCCTTTTCTAGAATTGTAGGCACGTAATAATCGCGAGTTTACCAGGCATACATATACATATAATATTATGTACCACCAACGATCTCTTATCGCACACAATCAGTAACAATCGCCCTTGCTCACGAACGAGTACTCGATGCCCTCCTTTGTTGTGTTCCCTACTTTTTCAAACTATTTTAATGCTACCAGCTTCAAGAATGGCTGGAGTGGAAATAATGTTTTTGAAGACGGCTTTTGTTCTTTCTTGCAATGTATATATTTCCTCAATTAATTAATAGAAGTTACACAAGGGCGAAGGCTCCCAGGAAAGGTCTCTGTGTTCCAGTATTGCTGATGAATTGCAATTATTATAAGTAAACTCGGATGGAGAGCCAATAATTGATTTATAGGGAAGAAAAGGGCCAATTCCCCTTGTTGTTCAACTATCATTGTGATGAACATTTCTGTCGATTATCACATGAAAACGACGTTCAAATGTTAACATATTGTTCAATTGTTCTCGTGGTACGTGCGCGCTCGTTTTACTTTCGTCGATATTCGGTTTCTTGTCTCCACGTCCACTTTATAAAAGTACCAAGGAACAACAAATTACAAATTTCGGTATAATGTCCACTAACACGGAATTCCGCCACCTTGCAGTTGATTTTTCCCATTCCTCTCCTCATCAATCCCTACTTGTCTTTGTACATACATCTACATCTACTGTTCTTTCAATCAAATGAACCCCTCGATAGGCACATTGCCTTCGGGTCATTTCATAATGTAATAATAATAAAACACCACCAGTAAGTAGACAATCAGTTCATGTGCACTCCACTAACCAAGGGAACTGACGTTCTACAACTACCTGCCAATCAGGTCTAGCACTTCTTGGACGCACACGCCAACACCCTTCCAACATGGTTCTACATTTGAAAGTTATACAAACAAGCATAGAAGTGAAAAGTGCGCGCAACCAAGACAAGCACAAGCTGAATGTCTCTGCTGTGAATAGATTTGGCGGATGAACATAATAATTATAATATCGATGACGATACCAGCAATACCTTTGGAAAACAAGGTCAAACCGCGATTCAAGGACGCATAGCAACATACCACACAACTCAGTTGGCACTGAGGCTACAAAGACCAATTCGAGGAGAAGATAAGCGAACATAAATCCTGCAAAACCACACTCCTCAGCAACACAATACTGTACGTCGACAGTGCATATTATTTAGATGGACCAATAAGTAGCAGTAACAATCAGCAGTTTCACACGACGATCGTTTCGCAATAGATTAATAATGTCTCATCAGGTGTGCATAGATCCACGTAGGTCCGATGGAGAGCCAAGAATTGATTTATATGAAAGAGCAAGGACCAATGAACTACAAGTTACGCCAATTTATATCCACTAACACCACCATTGAATTAGCTCATGCGATAGCATTACACGACACTGACCAACGGTACTGACTTTCTACAATTTGCCAACCAACTCTAGAATGTCTTGGATGCGCACTCCAACAGCCTCCTACTGTAGCGGACATGGAAATCCAGTCGATTGACAGGGGCCCGCGCCCTCAGCGCGTACAGAACGCTGGTATATGGGTGCAGTGACCATGTTGATCCGATGCGACCAGCGCGCTGCAGCGCATTAAAGGGAAACTGAACGCCAAAAATAAGTATGGCTTATCCGAAGGAGAATTGGGCACTGATTCCGATGAGCTATGTCTCGAGCCGATCAGAGAAGAGGAACCGTGTCAAATTTCATAAATAACACCTTCCATATTTGGAAATTGGGCTTGATGACGTGCGTACTGCTTAGCTGTCACCATGCTGTGCATGCTCAGCAGTGTAATTGAATGGAAGAAAACAATTACTTTGGTGTTTTGCAGCTCTATTTCGTTCCCTGACGGTACCCAAATCTAGATGTAGGAATCTGTTGAGCAGGAGAGTGACACATGTCTTCCCGAAGGCTGTCCAGCCTGCAGTGGTGATGAAGAAGACACGAATATCACCCCAAGATCGATTGTAGCGAATTGGAAAACTCATGGTGAATTTGCTTCCACTCCAAGGCAATGTCGAGGTATGAATGGTGCTTGTACTGCCTTCCAAAGTGCAGCGGAGATGAACATGGCTTTGCATAGCTGTTGCTCTACGCCAACTTACCTACTCTTGCTGGTTCCGTAGTGGCATATTGCAAATTTCGTGGACGAACAACTCGAGTCACTAGTGGCTAGTGAGCAACACTAACAGGTGAGATTTTTCAATTTGACAAAAATTGTTCTTGTTTGAGAACAGACGGTGGAAGTCATTTGACTCAGTAGGTGTCTCTGCTGCTTCTTTCCCTTCATTGGTAGGGTTGTGCTTGATAGTACAAGTGCTTGAAGTAAAATAAAATAAATAGAACATGTGGAACATAAATCTAATCAAGCATCAGTACATGTATTGCGAATTTCAACTTCAAAGCACATGAAATCACAATGATCACAAAGTTTATGGAATCAGGAGGACTCCCTGTGTTCAACGAACACAATACACACATTCTATATTGCGCGCACACATGTACACATGTGCGTGCACCCCCACCCCATCCCACAGACACACGCATGCAGCGCGCACATCCATACACATGTGCGTGACCCCCCCCCCCCCCCCACACACTACTACCCATACACATATGCGTCTACCCCCCCCCCACACACACACACGCACAAACACACACACACACACACACACACACACACACACACAAGATACGTGTAAGTGTACATGGTCTTCCTGGTGCAGATGCTGGGCCAGCACAATGGAAAATACCTCCATCAAGATGCTTGATCAAGTGTTGTGATAATGGCACTGTTTGTTTGTTTTTACAAAGACGTGTGGGAAGGATTACAATGCGTTATAATTCATAATTGTTCTTTGCCTTGTACTGTGCAGACCAGAATGCTTCGCCATCAACTCCTGGCTTTCCATCGGCATGGTGTTCAGCTGCAGCGGCATCTGGTCCGGGGAGTACAAGTTGCTGGATGGCTGCACTGACACAGGATGGGTTTGCGTTGGCAATGCAATACGGCAGTCATCCCACATTATGAGCTACAAGTTTATGTAATTTATATTGTCGCTCGTCCAGCAACGTCAAGGCTCTGCATGTAAACACAGGAGAACACCATAATAATTATACGACTCAGGGGATAATAATTATAAATTTGGATTAAATTTGGATTATCAATTTCTTGACATTTATGAGTTCCTGTCTAAACCATGTCGTGATATTGATTGCTACATGTATCTGCTCACAAAGTACCTCGTATTGTAACAATACTCTGCTTAATCACTACCCTCTGCCAATTATTAGATTCGCACAATATCCACAACATATGCAACACGATGCTGTCTATTGACACTACTTCGAACTGAAATGCTCACTACTCGTCTCCCGTTTTCAACTCCCTCTACCTTATGAATACTCTACTTTACTGGTTTCGTTTCTACCCTTTCCATTGCTGCCAGCTCCCAGTCTTTTTCAGTGCACAGCACCATATTGAAATTTTTGTGATTTGATGTACACATACTTTGAAATTGAAATTCGAATTACATGATCAGATTTTTGTTCCACATGTTCTTTTTATTTCGACTTGAAGCACAACACTATCGATGAAGGGAAAGAAGCCGCAGAGAGACACCTACTGAGTCTAATGACTGCCACCGTCTGTTCTCAAATAAGAACATTTTTTGTCAAATTGAAAAATCTCACCTGTTAGTGTTGCTCACTAGCCACTAGTGACTCGAATTGTTCGTCCACGAAATTTGCAATATACCACTACGGTACCAGCAAGAGTAGGTAAGTTGGCGTAGAACAACAGCTATGCAAAGCCATGTTCATCTCCGCTTCACTTTGGAAGGCAGTACAAGCACCCTTCATACCTCGACATTGCCTTGGAGTGGAAGCAAATTCACCAGGAGTTTTCCAATTCGCTACAATCGATCTTGGGGTGTTATTCGTGTCTTCTTCATCACCACTGCAGGCTGGACAGCCTTCGGGAAGACATGTGTCACTCTCCTGCTCAACAGATTCCTACATCTAGATTTGGTTACCGTCAGGGAACGAAATAGAGCTGCAAAACACCAAAGTAATTGTTTTCTTCCATTCAATTACACTGCTGAGCATGCACAGCATGGTGACAGCTAAGCAGTACGCACGTCATCAAGCCCAATTTCCAAATATGGAAGGTGTTATTTATGAAATTTGACACGGTTCCTCTTCTCTGATCGGCTCGAGACATAGCTCATCGGAATCAGTGCCCAATTCTCCTTCGGATAAGCCATACTTATTTTTGGCGTTCAGTTTCCCTTTAATGCATATGCGTACCGCTGATCCACAGCTGCATGGCCAGCACCCTGGCGCCGCTAGACGTGCGACCGGATTTCCATGTCCACGACAGTATGTTACTACAGACACAGTCAACTTTGCGTATAACGACACTCGGTGGGACATCAGAAAAGTGTCCTTATTCGCCAAGTGTCGTTATACCCGAAGTGTCGTTATACCCGAAGTGTCGTTATACCCGAAGTGTCGTTATACCCGAAGTGTCGTTATAATGTGTTACAGTTACATGTAGATGGGACTTTGCTCTGGGCATGGAAATTATGTCGTTATTCGCGATTTGTGGGGATATCCGCAGTCGTTATTAGCGAAGTTGACTGCACTATACCTTAGTTAGAACCGTAAAAGTGGCAAGGCACTCTTTCACATCGTCTTATTATTTTGAAGGTATTGGACATTTTACATGTACATCACACCACCAGTGTTATGCAAGGGAAAGAAAAGTGTAGTGGCACTAAATCGGTTGCTGAGTACCCGGCAGCGCTAGAACGAGTAGCGTCCCTTGGGTGTTCGTTCTGGACACTAACTCTTTGTGGCATGCGTGTCTTGTTACCGGTACATACATCTAGATAACTGTTAAGATCAATCGATAATTTGCCTTGTGATGTGCCAGGTGCGTCTTCGCGTGCCTTTGACACTGAGCGCACAATGCACAATGGAATTTCAGATCTGCCTGCAACTGTGGATGGACAAGGTCTTGAAGTGGGAATGAGTCGCTGGTACATGTCGCCAAAACGTAGCAATACGCACTCAATGATCACCGGATACGTGAGGGAAGATCCAGTCACAAGTGATCTTGTCCTTCCTAGGATCTAAAATCTCTGCTAGTGAATCAACAACAGTACAATTGGGCACATAATTATTGACTCCCCACTTTGGTGGTCTTGGCATGTTTTGCAACGTACATGTTGATTGTATACCGCCGCAAATGCTGCACATGAAGACAGAACTACTCCGGATTACTACTAAGTACTAGTAAATTCGACTCTTACTTTCATGATGTGAAGATGCAGTGTGATTCCCTCCGATACACAAAATTGATATAGTCGTGACATTGTGGTAATTGGTCGTGACATTGACAATCTTCAGGCAATCTTCGGGTAATCAGAGTAAAAGAGAACGAAGCAGCTAAAAGTGCTACATTTTTTGTATAAGATAGCGTGTACAAGGTGTCAATGCAGAAAGAAAGAGGTGGGCCAGTGAAGATGCGTGTAAAAGAAAGTGGCCATGATGGTGGCAAAGTGAAGACAAATGACTATACATCTAGGCACAACGTTGGGGACCGAGGAGTGGCTTTTAAACCTCAACACGTCCACCGGTGAAAGTATTGATTGATCGTAAAACGTTTGCATTTTAAAAGCGTTAAATTGAACCACAAGAGTGCTGGCGAGAGAAGATACGATTAGTAGAGTGGCAACTAGGTACACAGATATCATAAAAACCGACAGAAAGAAAAACAGCCGGCGCATAATAGCAAATGAGCTTATATCCTCTTGATATTAATACAGTATCTTGATGGCACTACAAGGCAGAAGATGGTTGACTACCGGTGCTCCATTGTGTGCAGATGTGGCTGACCAAAATTATTGAAAATATGGCAGCGCCCTGCACCGCACCGACTTCAAATGCTCAATGCCAGTAGTAAAGAAGCAGCGAGGGTGAAGAAAGCGGTAGACCTTACCATTGGTGCCACACCACTTCGATAAAGAGTTCCGTAATACGTACAGGGCGAATCACCGTCAGGCTTTGAGATGATAGCCACTTCTTTGAAATCTTTGCTCCATTTAACACTCAAAGTCGGACCATCTGTTAAGAAGTCGTACTGGAAGTCGACTCTGATTCGGTCTCGAATCGTTACAAAGTAGTCCTTGATTTTACTGCAGATTCCTTTGAAGAACGCCTTTAGACTGCCCCAAACCGATCGCTTCGAGATTGATCGTTTCGACGTTCCATTCGTAGGGTTTCCATCTGCTGCAATCTCCAGTCTGCTCACACAGCACGAACACGTTGACTTTGAACAATCTGTTATGTAAATGCCCGCTGCTGATTCCTCTGCCACGGAGGGGCCTATTTCGCAAAGAGCGACTGCGGCGACAACCAGCAAGAATACGCTGGTCTTACTCATTTTTGGTGTCAGAGTCAATGGTAAAATACAGCAGCTTTCCTCATCAACAACAACGATCCAAGCTAGCTCACAATGGCCACGAAGACTTCAGTACTCCCGTATTTATGGCTAGCAACAGGACCACTTGCGAGCTTTTGTTCGCAGTGGTTTTCGGAACCCCCATCTGAAATCGACCGATCCGTCGCCTATCTCTGGCATCTTGACGCAACTCCCCTTTTGAAAGGCCGATGTCTGTCAGCATACATGTGTGCTGAATAATTATTGCTATTAGAATACTTTTAAAGTTTTAATACACCTATGGCATGCATGCATGATGCCAAGCTGAACATTTACAAAGTAATTATTATTGCCATCAGAAGATCACTCACCTCAGACACTATCCGGAACACGACACTAGCATTGAAGCAATCGTGACTATTCTGTTTTTGTTGTTGTTGTTGTTGTTCCAATTCATAGCATATGTACTACACGTCAAGTTAATGTTGACCAATCAGGATGAGCGCATCTTGACCGTGCCCCTTAACTTCCTTATTCTAATACCACTGCTTGTCTGCGTGTGATCACAGTGGCGTGCATGCATTCATGGTGCCAAGCCGCATGGTTGTCAGGAAAATTCTTTTGTTCAACTCTCCTGAGAAATGCGTCAATTCTTTTTGTACAACACAAACAACACTGCTAACCAGTCTCTCGCTGGGATGTTGGGAGAAGGGGCTTGTGTGTATGTCAAGACCTGGCCTAGCCCAGCTTTGAGAGGTAGTGTAACCGTTTGAAGGTATTCTTGGAAAAGACAATGCTTGCTCAAGGCAACACAACTGATATAGGGCACTTCGTGCCCTAAGGTGATAACGCGCGTGCTGACAGGATAGGGAAAGGTGCAAGATACAGAGCTAGAGGGCAGATAAGGTTAGCGCTAACAGGGAACTGTTACACCATCCCTCCCTCCTAAACGAGGCACATGTGCCTCCAGGGAGTCGAGGAATATGTGGAAAGGGAATAATCAAATGAAATCGTGTCAACCCAACAACGCTCATCTAATTGAAGCACCGTGCAAGGTAACCAAGAACAGTCAGGCGAGTGAAGATAACGGAAATGGAGAAAATCTAAAACAGGAGGGGAATGGATTGCTTAACACAACAAGGATCAAGTGGGAATTCTCAAGGTACACGTGCAATTGAATTTGAGCGAGTAACATTTCGCTGTAACCAAAGTGTCACTAACATGCCCTGGACGCCCTGTAACGCCTCAGAGCAACTATCGGCCTACCGGCCTCGTCCAGCAAGTTCTCTTCTGGCTCCCAGGTCGCTTCGTCGTCTGGGTACCCTTGCCACTTGACAAGGTACTGAGTCTGATGCCTTCGCTGGCGATCGTCAAGAATCTTCTCCACCATGTATCTGGTCTGACCGTGCAAGTCAGTGAGCGGTGGCGGGGGTGGCTGCCGCCTGCCGGGAATAGTGTTCTGCTCAAACCGGCGCAGAGCAGTGACATTGAAGACAGGGTGGCACCGAATAGCGCTGGGTAGATCCAGCTGATAGGCGTTGGGTCCGATCTTCTTGATGATTGGGTAGGGCCCGAACCACTTAGGGCGTAGCTTCTGTGAAGCTTCTGTGAAGGCTGATCCCGGGCTTCTGCGGTTGTTAGGAAATCCTTGTACACCAGCACCATGTCGCCAACCTTCAGGTTGCTGGGCACCCTTCCCCCGTCTGCATACTGAGCTTGTCTAGCCTGAGCGGCAATCATGGCGTCCTTTGCCAACTTGACGGCATCCGCCCGATCCTGGATCCAGTCTGGGGCACTCCCTCCTCCCCTCCGTGCCAGGA